GCGGGCAGAAGCTCCGTAGATGTAGGGAGGACCAGCCGAAGAGTTTTTTCTGTTGCCCGAGGCTGAGCGATAAACCTCACCCCCATCCAGCTAAATCAGGGCTCACAGAAACCAAAGCTGGACCCACTGACTTTGCCACAGGAGGCGGGCAATCCTTTGAGCCCTTCCCAGCATCCTTGACTGTCAGGGATGTCAATGTCTCTGTCATACATAGCGTGCAAGTTCTAATAATAACTGTTAATAATAACCCCCCACTTTGTGGCTGCGGACGTTGTAAGCCGAAAACCTCGGGGAGGCCTGGGTGTGGCCCCTCTGCAGCTGGGGAGATCCTCTTATTTAGCCGTGGGGCCATAAGGGAGGCACGGTTTCCTGGAGGTTGTGCTGGAAGAACGTCTGATTCCAGATCTAACCTGGTTTGAAGTGAGGTTGTCAATTCTTAAACTTGGTTAGTGGGGAGAATATATGGACTTTGTAGCAGCTGGCCGTTGGCCTGTAGTATCCATTGTTGTCATCTTGCTTTGAAGCACCTCAAGCAATGGGCTGCTGTCAGAGAATGTTTAGGCCAAGTAAAACTTGATAGCCAGGATTCTGTCAGCAGTTTCTATTTGCCTAAGGGAGATGGCAAATAGAACTCTGTGGTTTAGGTCTCTGGCTGAGGAGCCAAGAGTTGGGAGTTCGATTCCCCTGCAGTGCTTTCTGTGAGCAGAGCCAGCCTGGGTGGCCTTGGGCCAGCTGCACAGTCCCAAGGTTGCCCCCTAGAGGAAGGGAAGGGTAAAGCACTTCTGAGTATTCTCTACCTGGAAATCCCTGGACAGGGTCACTAGAAGTCAGAATTAACCAGATGGCATTTGATGGTTATCAAGGGAAATGGCATGAGTCTCGTTAGCCAATTGCTCCTTGTTAACAAGGTGCTTGCTACTTGTCTTCCTGGGCACAGCAAGTGCGTTGCTGATGAGTGGCAAACTGCTGCCAAGACTCACACTGTTTCCTTTACGCCAGTGTAAATTGCCTGTAGGATTCTGGCCGTTAGTCATCAAGCGATGGAAGGCTGTTCCTTGTTCCTGGGGTTGGGATCGCTTTGCTCAGGCCTCACAAAGTGAAAACTTTTGATGCTACTTCCAGAAGGCGCAGACTTAGATTGCGCCAGATCTTTGGTGGCAGTGGTTGGTCGCTTCCGTCTGGATGAGGAGGAGCGCCTTAGGCGATCTGGGTCTTTTCTTTGCTGACACCCCTGAGTGTGTTCTCGGTGCAATCTTTGTGGCCTTTTCAGTGGAAGGTGAAAACATTTTTATTTGCTTTTCAGCATTAGGGGTTTTGATTGTCCCAGCTAGAGATTTACCAATTACTATAATTTGTTTGTTTTGAATAGTGTTCTCATCTGCATCCTATGCTTCAACTTTAAGTTAAATTGTTATGTGCTGTTCATTTGCTTCCACATTACAGCAACCCTAACAGAGTTTTAAAGGTATGTGAGGCCTTCGAGGGTTGATTTACCTTTGCCACCCCCAGTGGGTTTCCTTCAGCTAGTGGGGATTTGAACTCGGTCCTCATCTGTCTAGGACACCGTATTTAACTCTCAGCATTTTAAACAGCAATTGGCAAATTCTACAAAGAAATGATTTTAAAAAATTAAACTAATAAAGTAGATAGCAATATAAAACATCCAATTTTTTTAAAAATCATCAGCAACAAAAATATTGTTAGAAACTAGAATTTGGCAAATTTGTTTTAGGCTGAGCTTTTGTGGTTGATAGTCCACTTCTTCAGCGACATGCATTTTTAACATCAAATATTATTGTCTTGCATGTTGGGTTTAATTGGAACATCTTTTCCAGCTTCAAAGCATAGCTAGAAAAAGGGTGCTTCCACCAGTGGCTAATGTTATGAATGTGCCATTCTTGCTGGATGTTATATAAGAACCACTGGATAATTCAGTGGCTTGGGTATCTGACTATGGAGCCAGGGGTTGGGAGTTCGATTCCTCACTGGCCCTCCCTGACAGGGGTTGGACTGGATGATCCGTAGGGTCCCTTCCAGCTTCTGCCATCCTGAGAGGATGACGATCTTTAGACTCTGTACAGATCTGTCTCAAAACTACTGTTCAACCTTGTATATCTCCAAAGATGTGGGTTGTAGTCTCAAAAAACTGTATTCTACAATGTCTGATTTATTTAAGCTTTCAGAAAATGTTGTTTTGACTGTTGCAGATTGATACATGTGTTGCTTTTCAGTATAAAGTTAGCACACTTTTATTCAACCTGGAGTTTTTTTGGGGGTTTTTTGTTTATTTTTTTGTGAACAAAGGCTTACATTATGAAGAAATCCCACAGGTATTGGTTTTGTTTGTATTGAGTTTACTGGACACTTCCAGTGTTCTCTCCCAGTTTTGACATTAGTCAAAGGAGAAGAGAAGGTTGTGAAATGGAAGCAGCAAGGCTGGATAGCTCAGTGGTTTAAATCTCTGGTTTATGGAGCCAGAGGTCGGGGGTTCGATTCCCCACTGGGCCTCCTTGACAGGGGATGGATTTGATGAGCCACAGGGTCCCTTCCTGCCTTGAAGTTCTAAGATGATGATGATGAGGATGAGGAGGAAGGCGAGGCAGCACTGTGAGAGTCCAAAGGTAGCAGTGCCTCGTTGTGAGCTTTGTAATACAAAGAATGTTGAGGTAGTCGATAGCTCAGTGGGCTGGATTCCTGTTGTAATACAAAGAATGTTGAGGTAGTCGATAGCTCAGTGGGCTGGAGCACCTGGCTGCAGAGCTGAAGGTTGGGGGTTCAATTCCCCACTGCACATCCTGTGAGAGGAGC